AGTGAGGTTTGAACCGCTACTTCAACTCCTCAAACCACAATCAAATTAGTTCAGAAAAACACCAGCGTTAGTAGATGCTGTTATACTTACTTTATTTCTTGAAGCATCCCGCCATTGTAGGACTGCTGGATGCTGCCATTTGGAAAGTCAAACTCTTCCCTACCGGTGGCAAAGGGATGTACAGGAGGTCCCAGCGTGGTTGCACCCGTGAAGTAGGACGCGTACTGCGCAGCGCTGGGCTCGTAGTAGGACTCACCTCTTGGTGGGTAGAGGTGAGCCTCCCCGGTGTCCCAACGACTTCCGCCACTGCCAGCATAGAATGAAGTTGTCGCGAATGTATCGTAGGCCTTCGGGTGAAATCCCGACTCCGTCCGATACTGACGAAAATCCTCTGCCTGCGAATGGCTCGGAGAGAATGGGACCATTGTTATATCTGTTGTCGTTGTTCTATCTGAAGGAAACAAGTATGCAACAACTGACGTTGGTGATTTCATAATGTTTTGCTTTTACTATGAGACTGAAATTTCCATACTGTACGAAATTAACCTCGGAATGCACTGCGTTAACGTCTGTGCAGCAAAAAATGTCGCAATAAAGTAACCAAGTGACGTTTCGATGGGCAAGGCAATGAGGTCGAAGGGACAAAAGGTCAAATCCCATCCGTGAAATATTAGTAGCATACAAATGCAGTACCTATCGAAAACCCAAGTCCTCACACAGCTGTGTTTGCACTTTATAACAAATACTTTGCGTCAAGTGAAAGTTGGTCGTACTCTCTATTCAGTGACCTCACATCCACGCATTGTCAATCTTCAATTCTCCTTTCACAATGCTATTGGCCAAGTAACGCCTCCTAATTAACCCCGACACCGTGAAACGCCTGTCCCGTTTAAAATCCTCTGAACCACTAACCTGCAGCATTAAACTTGAAAATCATGAGGCACGACCCTAATAAAATCATTATTTACAGTGACGTCCTTTTTATCGCCTATTGTAGAGAGAAAATTTAATTTACTTTGTTGATATTTTTGTTACCCCTTCACCTGGGTTAAAGCATTTCAACGTATTTATGCAACCCCATGCTTATGGCGCCAAATTAGGCGATCTCGGATATGCAGCGGAATTGGTCACCGGAAATGGGAATGTAGTGGGAATAATTGTTGGAAATTTCCTTTAATCT